CTACTACTACTATACTGCTACTGCTACTACTACTACTACTACTACTACTACTACCACTACTACTACTACTACTACTACTACTACTACTACTACTACTACTACTACTACTACTACTACTACTACTACTACTATTCTACTACTACTACTACTACTACTACTACTACTACTACTACTACTACTACTACTACTACTACTACTACTACTACTACGACTACGACTACGACTACGACTACTACTACTACTACTACTACTACTACTACTACTACTACTACTACTACTACTACTACTACTACTACTACCCTCACTACTACTACGTTCTCTCTCCCTCCTCCTCCATCCCCCTCTCGCTCACCCATCCTCTCTCCCTCCTCGCCCCCCTCCTATCCTCTCCCCCTCCTATCCTCCCCCCTCCTCCCTTTTCGTGCCTCCCCACTCCCCCCCGTGGCCTGACCTCGCCCCGCGCAGGCCCAGGCCTCACCAGCCGGAGGAGCCGGCGGCGGAGCCTGGGGCGGCCGCCACGGGGGGGGGGCGGAGCAGCGAGCGCTGGCCAGGCAGCGAGAGCACTGTCGAATGTCTGCTTGGACTGGACTGGTCCTGCAAAAGGTGGAGGGACAGAAAGCGGCATGAGCATATAGCCTCGTGGCGGTCCGCGCGGATTTCTTGGATCTGAGCTAGAGGCCCCTCCCTGGCGCGCGGAGCGCGACAGCGGCGGCGCCGGAGGCGCCGCCAGGAGTGCCCAGCGCGGGTCCAAAGAATCTGCTCGGACCGTCACAAGTTTACGTTTATGCCGTTTTCTCATCTTCGAGAGAGCACTTTCGAATTTCTGCTTGCACTAGGCTGGTCCTGCAAAGGAGGGCACGGTGAGCAAGGACGAGGCTCAATTCGTGGGAGAACACGTCGAGAATCTCTGAGATCCCAGCCCCGTCCGAGAAGGGGTCGGTGGCCTCATGCGTGGTCCCCTTTTAAAGGGGGGGCGCCGGGGGGGCCTCGTGCGCGGACGACCGAGCCAGAGACCGCAGGCCTTGTTAGAGGGTGGCGAGGCTCCTCCGAGGACCACCACACATCTGAGAAGTGTGCAAAAGGCCTCCCCCAGGCACGGGAAACTCCTCAGAAGGCCGGGAAGCTTCCGAGAAGCCCTGCCGCCTCTTGGGAAGACCTGGTCCTTCTTATTTCCCCCCCTGGGCGCGCCGCCGATGCGTAATCATAGATTTCCGGAGGGCCGCGCGGACTGCTCAGACCAGTCTCCCCTGGCGGCGGCGCAGGCGCCGCCTGTGGCGCGCCCCGCGCGCCAAGCAGGGGGGTCCAGCGCCGACCCGCGAAAAATCGGCGTGGACCTCCGAACGTTCATGTTCATGCCATTGCCTGTTCCCCGCTTGTCAGCGGCGACGCGTACGGGAGCCTCCCATACCATCTTGACGGCTACTGCGAATCGACGCCGGTCGACGCTAAATCGGCGCTAGGTCGGCGCTAAATCGACGCTAGGCGACGCTGAAGACAGAACTGCGAGAGCACTCCAGATTTCGTAATAAAAGGGAGGGGGTCTGGACCCTCCAAGACAAGCCATTTCAGACCTCCCCCGTGGGAGAACCCTCCAAAACATCGTCCCCAGACCCCCCAGGCCCTCCAAGATAGCCTGGAAGAGACCCCCCCCGAAATGAGACCCCCCTCCCTTTATTACGAAATCTGGAGTACACACGAGCTCCCAGGATTTGCTGCCGAAAACGCGGGACTGTTGGTCGGCGGCGCCTCGGGCCCAGACTATACCATCGGGGCGACGACAGGGCTGCTGCGGAGCGAATGGGGCACTGAGGCAGCCAGGACGGCAGGGAGGGGATGCAGTGAAGGCCACGCCCCTAGAATAGGGGGAAAACAAACCTACCTCGCTTTTGACCACCCTCGCTTCCAAGAGATACCAAACGATGCCAAATTGCAGCCTGTACTGGTCAGGCCGCTTGACGAGGGGCCGCTGGAAGCGATAGCGGGGTAGGTAATTCACGCTCTGATAGGGACCTCCCACAAGAAACCCAACCCTGAGACCCCAGGACGGTCCTGGATTCTCGGCGTGGGAGCGTCACCCACGCGTTCCCGTGGCAAAGCCATCGGAACCCGAGGCACCCTGGAGGCAAGCAGGGTGCCTCTTGACAGGAGCCTCCGCCGTAGAGGGGGAGAGGGCCGCGGCAGGCCGGAGCGCCGTCGGAGCGGGAAAAGCACTTCGGGGTGGGGCCAGAGACAGACACGAGGCTTCGTCAACGCGTCAACGCGCCCACGCGGGTCACGCTCGCTATAGGAAGCAACTCACGGAATTGAAGAAAAAAAACGCCATGAACATACAAGGCACGCGGAGTACAGGCAGCTCAAGGAGTACAGGAAACCACTCACGAAGTACAATAAGAACAAAACGCTTTGCGCGGATTTCTTGGATCCGCGCTGGACCCCCCGCGGAGCCTCCAGCGCCGCCCCTGGCTCGCCAGAGGACAACAGCAATAGACGAAGAAACAACACCGTAAACATACACTTGTGGCGCCCCGCGCGGAGTTCCTGGACCTGCGCCGGACCCCCCTCCCATGGCGCGCGGAGCGCGCTGGGGGCGGCGCTGGAGGCGCCGCCGGGTGGGCCATTGCGGATCCAAGAAGGCCGCGCGGAGCGCCAAAATTCAGGCATATGGCGTGTCCCTTCCTCGAGTCAATGCGCCAACCCACGGGGGGAGGGGGAGGAGGTGGAGGAGGAGGAGGAGGAGGAGGAGGAGGAGGACGAGGAGGAGGAGAAGCAGGAGGAGGACGAGCAAGAAGGAGAAGAGGAGGTGGGGGAGGAGGAGAGGCGCCACCGCGACCAAATCTGGGCGCCACACGTTAGAGACAACCCACGGAAGCTGCTGGTCGCCCTCACGGCGCCCATGTTGCCGCATCCCCACGGGACTGGGCGGGGCGGGCCACTGGGAGCCTGGCGGCGATCCGTGGGCGACTGGGGGGCGCTGCCCCCCTCCTGAACCGAAGGGCCCCAGGGACACACAAATAGATAGGCACAAGTCCCAGGATTCCACATGTTGTCATACTTTTTTGGGGGGAGATTTTCGTCTTCCTCCCCACTTCCCATATTTGTCCAGATTTTCCTGGAATTGACGAGTAATTGTGCCTGCGCGTGTGTGTGTGTGTGTGTGTGTGTGTGTGTGTGTGTGTGTGTGTGTGCGTGCGTGCGTGCGTGCGTGCGTCCGTGCGTGCGTGCGTGCGTGCGTGCGTGCGTGCGTGCGTGCGTGCGTGCGTGCGTGTGTGTGTGTGTGTGTGTGCTTACTTCGCTGACGACCCTAAACCGATCCCCCCCCCTCACATTGCCCGACTCGGCAGCCCCACCTGGGCGTCCTCGCACTCATGCTGGAGCCGAACGGCGAGACGATCGTCGAGTTGTTTGAAAGCAAGCCACGGAAGCTTTGGGTCGCCCACACGGCGCCCATAGAGCTCGCAGAGCGGACGTAATGCACCGTCCTCACATAGCGACATCTGGGGCCATCGGGAGCCATTGCGGCTGTTTGGCGCTCTTTGATCACTATTCGGCCCTACTGGGCGCTCTCGAGCGCTGTTTGGCACGATTGAGCGCTACTGAGAGCTTCTTCTGCGGTATGCATTCGAAACAAAAAAAGAAAGGAAGCTTCCGTGACGACTCCTGTACATGATTACGATTGGCGCTGAACAGATCGCGAGCAACATCGAGCCCAAGAAGAACGCCATCCCTGTGAGGCGCTCCCCCTGCGAGGGCCCCTTCTTGGCACACCATCCCCCTGCCAAGGCTGCCAAGGCTTTTTTCGGCGCATGCTATCCCCAAATTGGGCGGGTAGCGAACAATAAACCGGCCGGTGGCGCCAAATCTCACGCTAGCTTTCGACCGCCAACTGTAAGACACGAACCTGGACCTCCAACGCATTGACAATAATCTTCTGCGTCTGGGGGCCCTCGCCGAGCCCTGGTTCGCGTGGGCTTAGCGCCAGTTTAGCGTCGACTAGCGTCGATTCGCAAGAGCCGACAAGATGGTATGGGAACTCCTGTGCGTTGCCACAGAAAATCCCTGGGACCGTGGAAAAACGATCCCGGACGAAAACCTGGTCCCCCAGGCAATAGTCCTTCCAGACCTCTTGGGACCCCACGACATGCTCGTGAACGTGAGGGGATGGGAGGGATCCCTCTCGTGAGATCGTCGACATTGCAGTCAACCCGCATCGTAAGGATGCGCGATATGGATGTAAGGGCCTTGGAAGCTAATCCCAAGACTCTGCGAGCGGGGTGCGGCTAGCGAAAGCGGCAAAGGATGGACCGCGGAGGCAAGGATGCAACGGTACCCTTGGGAAGGTTGCCAAGTTGTCCATCCTTACTACGCGGGTTGACTTGACTGTACGGGGCGGGGGAGGCTGAACGCCCGAAATATCCACGATAACTGCGGTTCGGGGTAACTCCTGTTCGGGCCTCCGAGGTGCGAATCTGCAATTACCCCTGAGTGCCCCCAACCCTGATGATTCCGGAGGGTTGGACGCCCGAATTGTCCGGGATAATCGCAGTCCTGGGGAAGTCCAGTTTGGGCCCCCGAGGCGCGGATCTGTAGCTGTCCCTGGCCGCCCCCAGCCCTGATGATGCGGGGTTCTGAGGAGGGGCGGACCCCCCCCCCTGACGGACGTTGCAGGCCCCAGGAGTGCCAAACTGAGCCCGGCGGTGGTACGAGCCATGCGAGGGTTGCGCCGAAGTCGACCTGGGGGCCGGCACAGGCCCGCGCTCGATGCGCACCCCTAGCTGGCACGGCACCGGGGCCAGCTGTCTTCGCGCTTCGCGCTCCGCGGGGCGCGATTCCCTTCGCGCCTTCGCGCCGCCAACTCCCCCTGCACAGGGGGATGGCTTCGCGCCTCGCTCTGAAGTCGCCCAGGCCGCAGGCGGCTGCGTCGGGTGTGGAGCTCTGGTAGCGACTTTTGTTTGGGGCGGGTTGCACGTGAGCTGAAACGCACCGCAAACGTATTGAAAACGGAGCAACAGCGGAGCGGGCGGGGAAGGGGAGCAACGGGGAGTCGAACATGGGGAACAATGTCGCTTCGATCTCCCGACGCAGCCGTCTTAGTCAACGGTGCTAGCCAGCGTTCGGGATGAATGCGCTAACCAAGCACAGCGCCCGTCGAGCCTGGACGGGCCGCCCGGGCCTGTGCCCGTCGCAGACGGCAACGTCTCTCTCGCTCCGAGCGCCTTCCCCGACGGCGACAGAAGGATGCAAGGGGCCCCCAGCGTGGGTGCGCGAAATGACCGACCACCTTCCGAAAAGAAACGAAAACGGAAACAAAACGGAAACAAATAAATAACGAATCGGCAACGGCAACAGAAACGGAAACAACCAAAGCCGTTGCGAATTTTCGCAACATGGAAAATACAACGGTTCCGAAAACGGACATGAAGCGTGAAAACTCAGAACAGAACAAAAAACGCCATGACCACTTCGAAAGACATCTAAAGGTAAGGGGAGGGGGGAAACTTCTTCT